CTCCTCCATCACTTTTGTTTACACATCCCACCAGCCCTTCGGGCTAAGGTGGTCTAGCGACATCTTTCTTGGTACCCTTTCCCTTCCCTCCCTGAGGTTTTTGCTGGGAGGGGGTCGCGAGAGGTTAGAGCGCCCAAGGTGGCCATTGACGGCTCCAAGAGGGCCTACAAGGCGAACGTGTTTAAAGATAGCTTCCGACATACCTCCAAGAGGCCCGACGAGGGCCACAAAACGGTTCCAACTGCTCTCGGAGCCCCCTCAGGACCCTTCGCTCTAAGAGGCCAACATCCTTCAAACGCCTTTGGGAAATCAGCGATCTGTGCCTTCTCGCATTTTCGCTTCCCGTGCGCTTTCGAGGCCTCAAGATGCCCCCAAGGCGGTCCAAAAGAGGCCCAAGAGGGGCCTACGAGGCCCCTCAGACGGCCCCCAAGAGCGCCCAAGAGCGGCCCAAGAGCGCCCCAGAGGCGATCCCGAGTGCCCCAGAGACTAAACGTGAGGGCCCCTCTCTTTCCTCCGACGCCCTCAACGATGGCCCCTCCCCCTTGTGCGCGACGCCGCCAAGAGGGCGGGGGCCGGGCCTTCTCGGAAGGCGGCGGGAGCTCCGGAGGAGGCTCGGAGAGCCTCTCAGGGAGGCTGGGGGGGCCGCGCCGAGGGGGGAAGCGCGCTGGGGCCGGCCTTCTTGGAAGGCGGCGGGGGCTTATTCGGAGGCTCGGAGAGCCCCCTCGTATCTCGCCGCAGAGGTTGGGGGGGGGAGAGGGGGAGCGAGGGGCGAGGGGCGAGGGGCGAGGGGCGAGGGGCGAGGAGGAGGAGGAGGAGGAGGAGGAGCAGGAGGAGGAGGAGGAGGAGGAGGAATAATAAGAATAATAAGACGAATAATAATAAGAATAATAATAATAAGAAGAATACTACTAAGAAACATAAGACTAATACTACTAATAACAATAACAATAATAATAATAATATTAATAATAATAATAATAGTAAGAATAATAATAACAATAAGACTGATAGTAATACTGATAATTATAATAAGAAGAATAACACGACTAATACGAATAATAATAATGAGACGAATAATAATAAGAATAATAATGAGTAGACGAAGAATAATAACAATATGAATAATAAGACGAGCAATAAAAATAATAATAAGAAGAAACACAAGCATAATAATCATAAGTATCCCAGAGCGACCCTACCTAGGAGTTAGAGCCCCTAGGAGAGCAATATTAGTAGTAACGGTAAACGCCGTCCTCCTCCTTCTCCTCATCGTCGCAGTTGTAGCAGTAGCGGTAGTAGTAGTGTTATGCTATGCTATGTTATGCTATGCTGCGCTATGCTATGCTATGCTGGGCTATGCTATGCTATGCTATGCTAGGCTATGATATGACATTATATACCGCGCTATGCTATGCTATGCTATGCTATGATATGTTGCGCTATGCTATGCTAGGATATGCTATGCTATGCTGTGATGTGCTGTGCTATGCAATGCTATGCTGCGCTGTGCTATGCTAAGCAATGCTATGCTATGCTATGCGATGCACTGCCATGATATGCTATGCGATGCTATGCAGAGCTATGCTATGCTGTGCTATGCGATGCTATGCTTGGCTATGCGCTATGCTGCGCTGCGCTGCGCTAAGCTAAGCTAAACTAAGCTAAGGTATGTTAAGCTAAACTAAGCTAAGCTAAACTAAGCTAGGCTAGGCGAAGCTAAGCTGAGCTAAGCTAAACTAAGCTAAACTAAGCTAAGCCATGCTAAACTAAGCTAAGCTAAGCTAAGCTAAGCTAAGCTAAGCTAAGCTAATATGAGCTAGGCTAAGCTAAGCTAAGCTAAGCTAGGCTAGACAAAGCCAAGCTAAGCTAAAATGAGATAAGCTAAGCTAAGCTAAGCTAGGCCAAGCTAAGCTTAGCTTAGCTAAGCTAAGCTAAGCTGGGTGAACCCGGGGGGCGCAACTGGGGGAACCGCGGGGCGGGGACTGGGGGAACCGCCCGGGGCGCGTTCCACTGCCCGGCCCCTTTAAGCTAAGAGAGTAAGAACCCTCATATTATCCCAGTGCGACCCTACCTAGGAGTTGGAGCCCCTAGGAAAGCAGCATTAGTAGTAACAGTACCGCTAAGCTAAAGCTAAGCTAAAGCTAAGCTGAAGCTAAGCTAAAGCTAAGCTGCTAAAGCTAAGCTAAAGCTAAGCTAAAGCTAAAGCTAAAGCTAAGCTAAAGCTAAGCTAAAGCTAAGCTAAAGCTAAGCTAAAGCTAAGCTAAAGCTAAGCTAAAGCTAAGCTAAGCTAAGCTAAAGCTAAGCTAAAGCTAAGCTAAAGCTAAGCTAAAGCTAAGCTAAAGCTAAGCTAAAGCTAAGCTACAGCTAAGCTAAAGCTAAGCTAAAGCTAAGCTAAAGCTAAGCTAAACGCTAAGCGAAAAGCTAAGCGAAACGCTAAGCGAAACGCTAAGCTAAAGCTAAGCTACAGCTAAGCTAAAGCTAAGCTAAAGCTACGCTAAAGCTAAAGCTAAAGCTAAAGCTAAAGCTCCCAGGGGACTGGGGGGAACCGCTCCCAGGGGACTGGGGGAACCGCCCGGGGCGCTTTCCATTGCCCGGCCCCTTTAAGCTAAGAGAGTAAGAACCCTTCTAGGCAGAGCCTAGGTAGGGAACTAATAATACTAATAATAATAATAGCAATAAGAATAATAATACGAAGAATAGGATTAATACTAATACGAATAATAATACTAATCATATTCATAAGAATATTAATAATCATAATCATAGTACGAATAATACGAATAATAATACTAATACTAAAAATAAGACGACGAATCATAATACTCTTAACACCACCAATACAACTAATAATAAGAACATGAGAAGAAGACGAATATGACGAATACTAATAATAAGAATAAGAAGAATAAGACTACTACTACGAATACGAATAATAATAATAATATTAAGAAGAAAAACATCACTAAGAATATTAATACTAATGATAATAATAATAATAATAATACTAATAATAATAATAATAATAATATTAATAATAAGAATAATACTAAGAATAATGAGAAGAATCATAATAAGACTAAGAATAAGAAAAAGAAAAAGAGGAGGAGGAGGAGGAGGCTGGAGGAGGCTGGAGGAGGCTGGAGACTACCTCAGGCTCCTGACGGGCCTGCTCACCCGAGGGCGCGGGGCCGCCGACAGGAGGGTCGTCCACTCCAGTCAGCGGCAGGTGGGAGGGGCCCACCGCCCAAGGCCCCCACAGCGGCCCGACACGAGCCCCGAAGAGACCAACCAGGAGCCCAGGGAGGGGCGACCACGACCAGACAGGAGGCCCCAGGACCCCCACGGACTGAAGCAGACCTCCCCCCGCGACCTCCCTCAAGCCTCCAGCACCTCGACGACGGGGAACTCGAGGCCGAGCTTACGACTTGTCGCGGGGCTCGCGACACCAGCCGTAGACCTCGGTCTCCTGGATCCCGTTGTCGACGGCGACCTGCTCTATGTAGGCGAAGATCTCAGCGCCGTAGTAGAGCTCAAGGTCGTCGGCGTCCAGCTGCTCCTGCATCTTCGAGTCGACCTCTGGCGACTCCGAGAGCGCCGGCGTGGTGCTCAGCTGTTCCTGCGGCTCCGAGTACCCTGGCGACCCCGAGGCCACCAGCACGTCGCTCTGCTGCATCTGCTTCTCCGAGTTGTCGAGGAGGCCGAACGAGCTCCAGACCGGGTCAGCAAACTCGAGCTTCTCCTCCTGCTTATCGAGGGTCGGGAACGGTGGGATCACCCCCAGCACGTCGTCCGACTCATCCTCCATTTTTGACCAGAGATTCGGCTCTGGCTCCGTCTGCTCCTTCTCCTCCGACTTGCTAACGACGAGCGCCGCGAGGCTGCCGTAGCTTGAGCGGTCGCTCTCGTCATCGTCCTGGAGGTTGTCGCCGCCACTGTAGTGTCCACACACCAGTTGCTGACCTCCTGCTTGCCGGGGCACGTTGACGGAGATGTGAGGGGGTCGCTTAGAGACCGCGCTGCAGCCGCTCCTCCTCCTCCTGGATGTGGTTGAGCGCTTCACCCCACTCCGTCATTTGTCAACGTCGTGTGGACGATCCAGCCCTGCTCCAGCCAGTAGCTCTTCCACTTCGTCCGTTTTGAGGCAGCCGTGGACGGGTAGCCCGAGTACCTCTTCGGCGGCACCTTCGGCACGTCCGTCTTCGCGTTCAGGCAGTGGTTCCACCTGCTTGGGCGACTCCATCCACCGGCCGAAATGGAAGGGCGCCACTGCTCGCGCCAGAATGGCTTGAGCCCAAATGGCTACGTAGGGGAGGAGGGGGAGGAGGCGGAGGCGGAGGCGGCGGCGGCGGCGGCGGCGGCTGCGGCGGCGGCGGCGGCGGCGGCGGCGGCGGCGGAGGAGGAGGAGGAGGAGGAGGAGGAGGAGGAGGAGGAGGAGGAGGAGGGGGAGGAGGAGGAGGAGGAGGAGGAGGCGGAGGAGGCGGAGGCGGAGGCGGAGGACGAGGAGGGGGGGGCCCAGGGAGCCTCGCAGGCGGCTGGGAGGGGGGGCGGGAGCCTTCCGAGCAGGCCTGCTCCCTCCACCCCTGGGGCGCGCCGCCGAACCGAGCGGCGGGGGGGGCGGGGAGGGGGGGGGGCATCCCAGGAGCCAGGGGAGGCCAGCAGGGAGGATGCGGGGAGGAGGGAGGAGGAGGAGGTGGTGGAGGAGGAGGTGGGGGGAGGAGGGAGGGGGGGGTGGAGGAGGAAGGAGGTGGGGGAGGGGGGGAGGGGGGGGAGGAGGGAGCGGGGAGGTGGAGGAGGGAGGAGGCGGGGAGGAGGGAGGAGGTGGGGAGGAGGGAGCGGGAAGGTGGGGAGGGAGGAGGTGTGGAGGAGGGAGGGGGGAGGAGGCTTTACGCCACGTGTGGAGCGCTCAGTGGCCTGCGCAAGAAAAGGGGAGGATGCGCGCCGGCGAACGGTGATGGTATGGTCGAGGAGGTGGGGTGATCGAGGCGGGTGGCCAGTGGGGCCAGGTCAACGTGAACCAGGTCATCAACGAGCTGCAGCAGCTCACGGCCGCGCCCGAGCCCCCCCTCCTCAGTCGCCTCGTCCGCCTCCCCCCTCTTCCCACCCCCGCCCTCCTCCATCGCCCCCCCTCCCACTCCTCAGTCGCCCTTCTCCCCTCCCCCCGCCCCTCCATCGTCCCCTCCCCCCCTCCTCGGTCGTCCCCTGCCCCCCCCGCCCGCCTCCCCCTCCCCGCCTCTCCACAAGTCAAGAGGAACATCATTTCGTCTCTCCTCTCTCTCCTCTCTCCTCTCTCTCTCTCTCTCCTCTCTCAATCTCTCTCTCTCTCTCTCTCTCCTCTCTTTGTTTCGTTCTCTCTCCCGCTCTCCCCCTCTCTCTCTCTCTTTTTTGTTCTCTCTCTCTCTCTCTCTCCCCCTCCTGAAGACGTCCTGAGAATCGCGCGCCCCCCTTTCGCGCACTGCTTTGTTCACGCAGGGTGGGCATCTTTTTTGTTGTGTGTGCTTTGTGCTAGCTTGCTTGTTTTGATGTGTTGTTCTGCTCCGAACGCTCCTGGTGCTTGCAAAACGGTGCTGGCGCTGCAGCGCAGGCCTCATGTTAGGATCGGGGCTTTGCTCCCGTCTCTCAGAATGGCGCTCTCGCCCCAGCGCGGGCCAACATGTTCTGGATCCGAGTCCTTCCTCATCGTTGTTGTCCCCTCCTTTCCCCTCCTTCCGCTCCTTCCACTTGCGCTCTCGCTGCTACTGCTCCTCGTCCTCATCTTCATTCCTGATCCTCCTTCTTTTCCTCCTGCTCATCCTCCGGCTCATCCGCCACCTACCCCTGCAGTGCACTTGGTTCGCCTTCCTTCCGACTGCGCTTCACAGGACATGGATCCTTCGTGGGATGACAAGATCCGGTCTGACATTTGTCGGCAGATGGAGAAGAATTCAGCGCCATGGGAAAGGGTGGGTGGGAATGGGTAGGACGCCAGAGATGGCGCGATCGCACCTACTGTCAACCCGCATGGTGAGGACGAGCCACTTTCCAAGGTTACCCTTGCACCCTTCCCCTTCGGCCCATCCTTGGCCGCTGTCGCTGGCTGCGCCCCGCTCGCAAAGCGTCGACATACATGAATGCGACTGTCCTCGCTCGGCCCGAAGATGTCCAGGGAGTGTGGCCCACCCCGCTCGGCGTACTGTGGTTTTTACGCGCAGGAGTTCGAGCGTTGCTTTTGTTCGCAGGCCGTTGCACAGGGACTCCAGACATTTTTTGGTCCGCAGTCGTCCAAACGTTAATTGTTCCTGTTCCCAGATTGTTCCACAGTCTGGTCGTTTTCGATCCCTCGGAGTGGTAGGCGCTGCAGCGTGGGCCTCCTGTTAGGATCGGCGGTTTGCTCCCGCCGTTCGGGATGGCCCTCTCGCTCCAGCGCGGGCCGCTTCCTCTGGATCCGAGGCCCGCCTCGTCGCTGTCGTCCCCCTCCTTTTCCCCGCCTCCGCCTCCTCCCTGGTCATCCTGCTCCTCCCGCTCCTTCTGCTCCAGCTCTTGCTGCTGCTCTTCGTCCTCGTCCTCCTCCTTCCTCATCCTCGTGTTCCTCCTGCTCATCCTCCTGCTCGTCCGCCACCCCCTCCTCCAATGCACGCGGTTCCCTTCCTGTCCGACTGCGCATAACATGATGCGGGTCCGCTTGGAGGGTTTTGGGGCATAGCTCCCCCTCGCGTTTCTGCGTTTTTTCTCAGGTACTAGATCCTAACGGTTTATGGGGAAATCGCGCTATCGCCTGAGACTTCCTCACCGTTCATGCAGGACACACGCTTTAGCAACCCGCCTGCCCCTTGTCCCTTCCTTCTATCCGTCCCTATTCCCACCTTCCCCTTGTCCCTAGACTGAATACACCTTGCTGGTAAGAAAGGCATGCCCCCAAGGTGGTACGATCGAAAACGAAGAGGGCGGGTATCGAGGGATTTTGACATACGTAATGAATGGCGCGCGGGCGGGTAAGAGCGAACCGTCTTCGCATTATTTATCTTGCTGTTGGTGCTGCTTCTGCCGTTGTTATTAGTGTCGTTGTTGCTGCTGTTGTTGTTGTTGTTGTTGCTGTTGTTGTTGTTGCTGTTGTTGTTGTTGTTGCCGTTGTTGTTGGAGGAGAGCACTGAAGGAGCCCAAGCGCCGGGGCCCAGGGAAGGTCCCTGTCCTTGATGTTGTTGTTGTTGTTGCTGCTGCTGCTGCTGCTGTTGTTGTTGTTATTGTTGTTGTTGTTGTTGTTGTTGTTGTTGTTGTTGTTGTTGTTGTTGCTGCTGCTGCTGTTGTTGTTGTTGTTGTTGCTGTTGTTGTTGTTGCTGCTGTTGTTGTTGTTATCATTGTCGTTGTCGTTGTTGTTGTTGTCGTTGTCGTTGTCGTTGTGGTTGTTGTTGTGGTTGTTGTTATTGTTGTTGTTGTTGTTGTTGTTGTTGTGGTTGTTGTTGTTGTTGTTGTTGTTGTTGTTGTTGTTGTTGTCATTGTCGTTGTCGTTGTTGAGGACGGGTGGAAGGGGGAGGGAGTCATGGAGCACGAGAGAAATCAGCATGAGGTGGGCAAGAAGCAGTAAACAGGTGGTAGAAGCAGACGGGCAGATCGGGTGGGCAGACCCATCACGGGCAGGTCGGGAAGGCGTGCCCAGGCGATCAAATCGAGCAGGCGGGTTGCTGAAACGTGGGTCCTGCATTAACGCGAGGAAGTTTTGAGCGATAGCTCGATTCCCAAGTGAATCGTGAGAAAAACCAAAGCGAGAGCGTGACTCCTGAGCGCCGAGGGCGCATCGTCTGAATAGATTGCCAGGAAGTCCCACTCGACAGCGCGATGCGTACATGAAATGTGAGGAAGTCCCGCGCGAGAGCGCGATCTGGGAATAACTTGTGAGGAAGTATCAGGCGGGAGCCGCAGTTGTAGTAAACCAGAGGCCAGGGGCACAGTTTGAGCCCCGTGACTTTCCCGGATACAACAACAGGGTGCGAGCCCCCCGGGGAAGCACTTCAATTGAAAAAACGTACTGGTCACCGGAGGGGGGGGGTCCAACAATCATTGTTCTTCATTATTGAGAGTTCAACAACAATAACAACAACGACGGCTCCCGCTTGATACTTCGTCACCGTTTATTCCTATGTCGCGCTCTCGCGCGGGACTTCCTCACAATTTATACAGGAACCGCGTTCTCGCGTGGGGAGTTCCTCGCAATCTATTCAGATGCCGCACCCTCGACACTCAGGAGTCACGCTCTCCCTGTGGACGTCCTGACGATTTATTGAGGGATCGCGCTTTTGCTCGAGACTTCCTCGCGATTCATCCAGGACGCACGCTTCAGCAACCCGCCTGCTCGACCTGGCCGTCTGGGTCCGCCTTCCCGACCCGCCTGTTAGGGTCTACCCGCCTGATCTGTCAGTCTCGTTCTGCCACGTGTTTTCTGCTCCTAGCCCTCCTCCTGCTATTCTCGCTCGTCTTCCATCCTCTCTCCCCCTTGTCCCGTGACTAAATACATGTTGCAGGTAAGAGAGATGCACCTTTAAGGGAGCACGATCGAAGACGAGCTCATAAGAGCGAAAAGTCTTAAACTGAGTGTTGTTATCGTTGTTGTTGTTGTTGTTGTTGTTGTTGTTGTTGTTGTTGTTGTTGTTGTTGTCGGGTGTGTAGTTGTACTTGTTGTTGTTGTGGTGGTGGTGGTGGTTGTTGGTGTTGTCATTGTTGTTGTTGTTGTTGTTGGTGTTGTTGAACATTATTAATTCTAAAGAATAATTGTTGTTGGGGCCCCTGGTGCGCGCCCCCCCCGCCGCGCCTAGGCCGCAGCCACATTTTCATCATTTTCGTGAGGAAGTCTCAGGCAAAACGGGGTATACCAGATCCGGTTGTGTTGTTACGATCGGTTTTCCCTTGCAAAAAATAAGGCAAAGTGGACATTTCTTGTTCTAACATGACCAAACTTCAAGAATCCCTTGCAAAAAATGACACGAAGTGCACATTCGCGCGCGCAAGACGAAATCCTTCCAAAACCTTAGTCTTCGTAGCGATTTTCACATAAAAACATGAAAAACCCAATGGTTTTTCAAAAAAAGGGTTTCAAAAATTCACCCCGCGCGCTCTTGCGGATTTCTTAGGAAACCCAATACTTTTTCAACATTTCTGTCAAACGGGCTCTTGCGAGCAACTTTTTCACGTGCTTCGAACTTCTGCAACAAAGGTTGCGCGCCTGCCAGGGCCAATCATCGCGACAACCATCGGGACAACCACAACCATCAGGATCCCAACCAGAGAGAGCTAGTCACGTGCATTTCGTAGACGAATGAGCCAGTATTGCACGTTGAGGCCGGAACGACAACCACAGAACAAGAATGAGCATGTATCGTCTCACAACAACGGAAACAAGTCCTGTGGTATGCTGGCGCCACGCACGTGGTACCACTCAAAATAAGTGTCTTCGCTTGTGTGGTACAGAAACGGAAAAACGTCGGAAAACGGTACAGGTGTCCAGTGTTGGAACAGGGGGAAAAGTCGTATACTAAGCTAGCTTCCACAAAATGTTACCACAACAAGTCACTGTACCCATGCGCCAGTGTAGTAGCCAAGGTCGTCCGCAGGCCACGAAGTGAAGTGTCCGAACGTCATAGGGCGGGAAGCTGGGTGTGGGTGGTGGCGAAGAGTCGTTTGGAAACTTGGTAGAGCTTGAACCGGCCCCCCCACAAAGTGGGGGTATTGCCCGCCTCCTATGAAAACCCTGGCACTGGTGAGAACGGAGTGTCCCCAGTCTTAAATGATTGTTGTTGTTGTTGTTGTTGTTGTGGTTGTTGTTGTTGCGGCTGCTGCTGTTGTTGTTGCTGCTGTTGTTGTTGTTGTTGCTGTTGTTGGTGCTGCTGCTGTTGTTGTTGATGTGGTTGTTGTTGTGGTGGTTGTGGATCGTGCTTTTTGTATTGTGGTTGTGATGACGTTGTTGTTGCTGCTGTTGGTTGCGTGTGTGTGTGTGTGTGTGTGTGTGTGTGTGTGTTTGTGGTTGATCCGTCATCCGTTGTTGTTGTTGTTGTTGTTGTTGTTGTTGTTGTTGTTGTTGTCTGTTTGCTTGTGCATTACCGTTCGTCTCTTTAATTTTTGGGGTGCC